TGTGTCTGTCTGCCCATCTGTCCATGTGTCCATCTATCTGTCCGTCCATCTGTCAGTCTGTCTCTCTGTCTGTCTACCCATCTGTCCATGTGTCTGTCCCTCTGTCTGTCTGTCCATCCGTCCGTCCACCAGTCAGTGTGTCTGTCTGTCCATCTCTCTGCAGGTCCACCTGTGTGTCCATCCGTCGGTCTGTCTGTCTGTCTGTCCGTCTGCCAGTGTGTCTGTCCATCTGCCCAGCCATATTTCTCTCTGTCTGTCTGTCTGTCTGCCTGCACGTCTGTCTACCCACCTGTATGTCTGCTTGTCTGTCTGTCCGTCCATCTGTCTGTCTGCCCATCTGTTCATGTGTCTGTCCGTCTGTCAGTCTGTCTTTCTGTCTGTGTGTCTGTCTGCCCATCTGTCCATTTGTCCATCTGTCTGTCCATCCATCTGTCGGTCTATCTGTTTGTCTGTCTGTCCGTCTCTGTCTGTCTGCCCATCTGTCCATGTGTCTGTCCGTCCATCTGTTAGTCTCTCTGTCTGTCTGTCTGTCTGTCTGTCTGTCCGTCCACCTGTTGGTCTGTCTGTCTGTCTGTCCATCTGTCTGTGTGTCTATCCATCTGTCCATGTGTCTGTCTGTCTGTCTGTCCCCTGTCTGTCTGTCTGTCCATCCATCCATCCGTCTGTCTGTCCGTCCGTCCGTCTGTCTGTCTACCCATCTGTCCATGTGTCTGTCTGTTTGTCCATCCATCTGTCGATCTGTCTGTCTGTCTGTCCATCGGTCCGTCCATCTGTCAGTCTGTCTGTCCATTCGTGTGTCTGTCTGTCCATCTGTCCGTCTGTCCATCTGTCCGTCCATCCGTCTGTCTGCCTGCCCGCCCGTCCGTCCGTCCGTCTCTCTGCGTGTCATCGGCCGGTGTCGCCCGTGGCTGTCTGTCTCTGTGTTCCGTCCGTCCGTCCGTCCGTCCGTCAGGGTCACGCATGTCCCCCCCTCCCCCCCCCCCGCAGACCCACGAGGAGACCACGTGCGTGGTGACGGTCGCCGGCCTGGATCCCGGGCTCTGCCTCAGTTTCCGTGCCCGCGCCGCCCCGCGCCCGGCCGTCTACGGCCCCGAGGCCCAGCCGGGGGACTGGACTCGAGAGACGCACTGGACGGGTGGGCGGGCCGGCCGGTGAGCGCGGGGGGGGGCGGACGGACGGACAGAGAGACAGGGAGAGAGACAGGGAGAGAGACAGACAGACGGACAGACGGACAGACAGGGAGAGAGAGACAGAGGGACAGACGGACAGACAGATGGACAGACAGACAGACGGGGAGAGAGACAGGGAGAGACAGACAGAGAGACAGAGAGACAGAGGGACAGACGGACAGACAGAGAAACGGATGGACAGACAGAGAGACGGACAAACAGACAGAGAGATGGACAGACGGATGGACGGACAGAGAGACAGGGAGAGAGACAGACAGATGGACAGACGGACAGACGGGGAGAGAGACAGACAGACGGACAGACGGACAGACGGGGAGAGAGACAGAGGGACAGACGGACAGACAGATGGACAGACAGATGGACAGAGACAGGGAGAGACAGACAGAGAGACAGAGGGACAGAGGGACAGACGGACAGACAGAGAAACGGACGGACAGACAGACGGACAAACAGACGGACAGATGGACAGACGGACGGACGGACAGACAGACACAGACAGACAGATGGACAAACTGACGGATGGACAGAGAGACAGATGGACAGACAGAGAGACAGAGGGACAGACGGACAGACAGAGAAACGGACGGACAGAGAGACAGAGGGACAGACAGAGAGACGGACAAACAGACGGACAGATGGACACACAGAGAGACAGAGGGACAGACAGAGAGACGGACAAACAGACGGACAGATGGACAGACGGACGGATGGACAGACAGACACAGACAGACAGACAGATGGACAAACTGACGGATGGACAGAGAGACAGAGAGACAGACAGATGGACAGACAGAGAGACAGAGGGACAGACGGACAGACAGAGAAACGGACGGACAGACAGAGAGACAGAGGGACAGACAGAGAGACGGACAAACAGACAGGCAGATGGACAGACGGATGGACGGACAGACAGACACAGACAGACAGACAGACAGACAGATGGACAAACTGACGGATGGACAGAGAGACAGACAGACAGACAGGGAGAGAGACAGACGGACAGACAGACAGGCAGGCGGACAGATGGACAGATAGATGGACAGATGGACAGACAGATGGACGGGTGGACAGAGACAGGGAGAGACAGACAGAGAGATGGACAGAGAGACAGAGACGGATGGACAGACGGACAGAAGGACAAACAAACGGACAGAGACAGAGGGACAGATGGACAGATGGATGGATGAACAGACAGATGGACAGACAGACAGATGGACGGACGGACGGACACACAGACACAGACAGACAGACAGACAGATGGACAAATGGACAAACTGACGGATGGACAGAGAGACAGACAGACATAGAGA